AGGCTCAGGAACCTGGGGATTCAGGAACCTCAAGCATATCTATCCAACTGTCCCCATCGCAGTCCCAGAGTTTGATTTGACTTTAGCATAACAAACATGTCAGCCTGGGCATTCCATCTCTTTATAGTTCTGCCACCCTTTTGATCAATTTCTGGGCTAAACTTAAAGTACAGTATGGCCTCTGGTTGCAGAAAATAAAGGTCTCTGAACAATGGTGTGTGGGTATGGATCATTTCTGGGTCACAGACAGCTTTGGGAATTTGTGAAAGCATAGGCAGATGGGAAACCACCTACTAGATGGGTGACGAGAGCAAGTTACTTCTCTGTGCCTTAGTTTCACCTGCCTCGACCTTCGCAGCGAGGTTCAGGATCTGAAGGAGGGGCCGACGCACAAATGAAAATGCTATACAAGAAATATGAATTTAGAAGGCATTGGGCGGCCAGGTGGAGCCTCTTTCTTGAAGAGACACACCGAGATCTGGCCTAGTCCGCTTTTTATTCAATTTTAGATACACATCTTTGACCTCAGGAAAGCATGGCAAACAAGTAGCAGACAGACAGTCTCAAAGGTCAGTAAAGATCAGTAAGGTCCAGTAAACATTTACTTGGAGGCTATCAGGTCAGGAAATTGCTTCGAGCCACCACTATCTCAACATGAACAATTGGTGCCTAGTGTCAGCCCTGCTAACGCTCAAGGTCCATCAGCCTCCCGCATTCATTGGTGCATGCTCATAATAGTATTGGCAAGCGGTGGCTTCCCACTTTCACCATTTATAAAATGGAGAGAATAACAGTACAAATTTAGAGCGGATGCTTTTTGGACCTCTCAGCCCACCTTGGAAGCTGTCCAGCCAAGGAGGAAAGTTTTGGCAACTGGTAGCATCCCACCTCAAGCAGGGTGAAATGTGTAGTTCTACTCTTCTGCCTCAGGGCTTTCTGCAATGGCACCATAACCTGGGAGTAGCTGGAAATTCAAATCTCCTGGGACAATCCTCATCCAATGGAAGATGATGGTCCGTGGGTAAATGCCCTAGCCTCTTCCTTCCTGAGGAAAATTCTGAGGCACAGTCTACATTATTTCTCAGTGGGTACCCAACAGGATATAAAAGCCAGTTATTGCCCATACCAATAACCAGTTTAATATTCACTTTCCCTGCCTTTATTCCTGTTCCCCACCTCCCCCATCATCTCCCAAATAAACTACTTGCATCTATGCCCTGTCACAGGTTCTGCTTTTGGAGGAACCCAAACTAAGGCAGTGACT